TACTGCTGGGAGGGCGCGCCTGGGGGGGTTTTCGGGGCATGTTAGGCGCGCCCCGTGACTGGCGCCGCCAACCCTAGATCGTGGGCCCCGCCATCATGTCGCCAACCTCGGGCTGGTCGAACAGGGTCGAACAGGGTCGGGCTCACGCTCAAACTCGCGACCTGTTGTCGTCGAACCCGAGCGGGCGTGTACAGTTGAGCTGTACATCCTGTATTGCGCCCGAGAAATAAAAAAAATATGCAAAAATACATTGGCTCGAATCCTCGAATCACGATGCCTGTCCCGGCGTCCGCACAACAGTCAGCCAAGAACCTGGTGGCAATGTAAAAGTATGTACGTTGTCCGCCCACCGCCAAGCAAGAATCTAGAAACATCAGAGTGCTTCTTTGGGTTGCTTTGGGAATGAAGCTAGGTAGCGAAGAGATGACGTGGGTGGAGTTTATTCTGAGTGAGTCTTGCAGTTGTCTCAGACCCGCCTCAGCATATCTCCTCCATTCCCACTTATACGAGAGGTGGCTTCCCGCACGCCAGCTCAACCTTTTGCTGAGTTTTCTTATCTTTTCTTCTCAGTTATATTTTCAATCCTGAAGCAATTACTACAGCGCGATCTTCAAACAAACACAATGAAATTTCTAGTCCTAGTGACGACTACATTGCTGCCTTTGATCCCTGGTGTTGTATACGGGGTGGACTTTGATGGATGGTGCGCCTCACATTACGGGAACGTGGGAAAACCATGGGCGATTTGCGGCAAGGCAGAATATGTGAACAACGACCCAAAACAAGGCATATCACGTTGGAGTGGTAAGCACTTGTTTTTTTTTTTCTTTAGTCTGCCTCATTTGTAAGACAAGGAGTGTGTATACTAAAACCTCTTGCAATCTCAATTCTAACCATTTGTTTGGACTGAATGAGCAGTCCGACCGCAAGATAAGTGCAAACTCTTGAAGGATGACCCGACCGCAATCCCGTTTTGCTGTGCGAATTCAATACACAAGATAGTCACTGTGTGTACCATTTCTAATCAATCACACAAGCCCTTGGATACAAAGTATATACTTCTGTTACTGACTTCATCACTTCTGAATCTTACAGACCCGTTTTTGGGGCTGGCGTTCTGGCATTGCAGTGGATGCTGTTATGATCAAGGAAGACTGTCACAAATTAGCATAGTCACCAGTTTGGATACTTTTTCAACCTTATATATCTGCTTGCAAGGAATCTTGGCACGGATTTTCTACTCTTCCTAGGAATCAATATTTCCTTCCTCCAAATTAAACTGCCGATTGTACATACTCAGGGCTGTGTCTATCAATTAAGGGGGTTCACTTACTGCTGATGCTGGAATCATCAGCAAAACTTGTTAAAATCCAACTTTGCTGATGCATTGCAAAGCAATAAGGTTTGGTGAGGAGTTCCCCTTTAGAAGCAAGATGCCACAACAAAAATTAACCAATATTGTGCATCAGCAACCAAACCTTGCTTCACATCAGCAACAGTTTTGGTGGAACGTGAACCCCCTATATTTGTTACCTTCTCAAGTTTTTTTTTCATTTCTTATTTTCTGTAGACCAGACAATTGTTTTCAAATGATACTCAACCAATCATCTCTTTCTCCTTGTCTTTCCTGTTTTTCTATCTTTGTTTTTGCTATCCAATCAAAACAACCTCATGATGAATGAGAAATCAGCCAACTGATCCGCAAGCTCATGTATCATTTACCAGCTTCAGCTAGAAGACCCAGATTGATTGTGCTGTGCAAGAGGTAATCAAGACTCAACACAACTCCCATAAATCAAAACTCAAATGATAGCCTCTCAAACAATATGTGGTAATGAAGAATTTTGAATAAATTGCTAAAAACAAAACCGGACTAAGTTGAGAGAAATGACAAGTGAGTGAGAAATTCAAGCCAACAGTTAAGAAGGAAGAAAAGAAGAAAGAAAAAGCTAACCACTAATGATGGAATAAGATCAAGATGAGAGGACTTTGAGAAGAAGTAATAGACGATTTTTATGAAGAAGCAACTAAGAAAAAAGAATAAAGAAAACAATCAAGAGAATAAATAAGGAGTCATCGATTTCCTCAGCAAACAACACAAGAAATCATAGATGAGTAAAAATAATAGAGAAAATAACAAACAACACGATGAGCAATTGTGATGAGCAATGATGAAGCTGCCTGAGTTATGAATCTTGGAGAGACTGGATTTGATCTTGACGAGAGAATGCAGTTGAGAGGTCAGGAGAGATGCGCGAGAATGAGAGAATGCGAGTGAAGAATACTTTACAGTATCAGGTCTTGAGAGTGTTTTTTATTGAGTGAGGCTTGAAGATATTGAGTCTTGATCCAAGGGTTGAGATGAGATCTTGTCGAGTCTGAGGAATGATTAGATCTGAGCAATTTGTCTTTTGATGAGGAACTAATCCAACCCTAAGTGATACAAGGACCGGAGGTGAATATAGAGTTGTTTAGCTCATCAGGCTGCGGCACGTGGCGTGGTTCCAATAAGATGTCACAGGATTAATGTATGGGACATAGACAAAAGCCGCGCGTGTGTTTTGAGTAGGAGAGGAGAAAACTCAACAGGTAACAATCCCGCCCTGTGGCGCTCATCCCATGGATTCATATCTATCTGCAGGGTTGCTTTGCAACCAGAACCTTGCGTAAGTTGGAGAGCCTGGATCCCAGCAGATTTATAGGCTCTGCATTGGTGTTGAGCCCAGTTGTTGAATCATTTCATAATTCAGGAAAAATTTAAGCTGGGTTCAGGAAGCAAAAAGCTGATTGTGAACCCCACTATTGTAATATCTTTTGCAAATTTCAAAAATCAATTTTTCATATTTTTGTTTTAAGAATCATCTTTTGAAACCTCAGTTATACCATGTGGCACATGCCCAAGTCTCACAATTTCAATTTGGTGGTTCAGGGTTTTTTAATTCAAACAAACTAGTTATTGAGTACAATCCAGTGACATATCACAAAATGTTCATACCAGAGGTGTGTTTCCAGCTGAATGGTATCTGAACTGCCTCACCCTTATGATGTATGGTCTTTAATTGAAAATTTAGAAAGAAAATCATAAATGAGTTGAACTAAAATCCAGCATGGCTTCAACAGAATTAAATTATATTTGGCATCAAATAATTACATCTCATTTCAAAAATAGGTTGTTTGGTAGTTCTTGTTTTGTTTTGTTTTGTCACAGAGAATGCATCATTTGATGTAGAAGTAGTGGTGAAACAGGACCCTGGTGAGCCCTGGGTAAGCACACATATGTCAATCTGAGCAAAAAAAAAATACACTTCTGCTACATGAAAGAGTTGTTTTTTTTTTTTTTTGCTGAAGAATGCAGTTTATTTTCCTTGAAAAGCGTTTCTGATATCAATTGGCACCATTTCCCAATTTGTTTCCCACTGATTCTTGCCATTTCAGCTATGTTTTACCATTCTTTTTCCTGATTTTTTTCTCAAGTTTTCCAAGATTACTACCATTGTCATAAGGATTTTGATGGGGAAAAAAATACTGAAATTTCCCAAAATTGCTTCCAAATTGGAGGACTTCCTGTCGGTTTTACAGGTCTTGTAAAGCTAGATTTAAATTACAGGCTGTAAAGCCGATTTTTCAATGGGAAAACAGCTTTATAGCCTGTGAAATTAGCTTGACTGGGGGTCGACAGGAAGTCCTCCATTTTCATTTTTCATCAGTATCTTTTTTGGGGAATAAAAAGGATTTGCTGCATTTTTCATGTGTGTCCAGCTGGGGCTCTCTGAGATCTTGGTACAGAAAACCAAGGGGTTTTGGAGATTAAGGGTTAAAAGAAGAAGTCCCCTGTCTACATACAGGTAATTCAAGTCAGCTCAACTGCTCATTCACTCCACCTCCCCACCCCCATCTGACTCTCCATCCATCAAGCATTCAAACTGGAGATACACAGGGGATCAGGTTGTGTCTTTCAACTACAAGTATAAGATGGTCCACAACCACCCAAGAATGAGGGTCATCAAGTTCAAAATGTTTCAAATACAATCCCATGGATCGAATTCATGATCCCCTAATCTAAGACCATGGGTTGCAGTTACAGTCAAGCTTGCATTAAACATGACAACATCTAGTATTTGAAACATCCATTATGTAGAAACAAAAATTTAAACTTGTCTATACAATCATCTATATTCTATACACTGCATCCAAATTGAAGCATGGGACGAGGAAGGGACTGGCTGGTCAATCCAGTGGTTTCATGACCCCACTGTGCAACAATTCGATGACTGGATGTGAATCGGGCAAACGCTGACGTGCGGCCAATTGTAATCCGACCTCTTTGAGTACTTGACTGCATCCTAAGCCACCAGTATCCAGATGGGAGCCAATCTTCCAGTCAATCAACTCGTCCGCTCGAGTCGTCCCAATGTTGATCATCCCGATTTGCGAGCCGGCTTTCTCCTTGAGTTCTTTTACTAATCGGAACGCCGAATAGGTCGTCAGTGAAGTCCCCAGAAGGAGCAGATTCGTGGCTTCTGAGACGCGTCGGTTGGCCAGCTCCTTGGCTTCTTTGCTCAGCGATTCTCCGAAAAACGTTACCTGCATGTATCACCATTTTGAAAACGAGAAATAATCGGACGTGGGCCCCGAAGATCGTTCAAAAAGAAAGCAAGTGTTGAGCAATCACAGGAATTAATGGTCACATGAGAAGGGAAGATTTACATACAGCAGGTTTTAGAAGCCCAACAGTGCATTTCTCACAATTAGGTACAACAAAGGAGTCGAACGATTTATCCTTTACATCAGCGTCACCATCGGGATTGGTTTTGACTTCCTGGCCGATGCTCTGTAGGGTGTCAGCATAGTTTTTCCATGATGGGTTTAACTCGGAAAGCAGATCTTGGAAATCGTCTCGGTCTGAGCAGGAAGCACAAACCGCTATGAAGCATTAACAAAAAACACGCCTTATTGGGACCACAGCGGCAACAAGAACCTTACCGATTTGGTGGCCACAGGATAAACAATTGACATGTTTTAGGGTTCCATGAAGCTCCAAGATATTGGGATGGGGATTGAAGTAATCCGGTGCATGACTGTCCTGTTTGACGCCGATAGCTTTGTGGTGTAATCGATCTACATTCTTACGAGACGATAAAAACAAAGGACAATTGAGGATCAGGGACGCTGACCAGCAGCCTGTTCAATGCACTTTTTTTTTCGTCACATATTCGACAAGATACGTACTTACCTGTGTGATCAAGTGCCGGATGTACCCCATCTTCATCAATGCTGCAACCGCATAATGTCCCACGTTGGGTTCGGCAACTCGGACCGTAGGATAACCCAAGTACGATCGAGCCCAGTATCGTATCCGAAAACTGTGAGACTGGAGGATAAGAAGATGCACAGAGTTTGATGAGCATTTAGATATCAATGATGAATCTTAATTTTTTTTCTCTTGTTTGAAACACTCTTCGTGGGTGCCCATGAACCCACCTCCAAAAATTCACTAAATTTTCCGGCGTGCAAGCAGAGATTAGCGCAGGATGATGATTAGAACGACCGATTACTAAATGGTGAAATTTGCCCAAGAGATTGAATTGGCCAGATATTACAGAAACTCAACTGAAAGAATATGGGTCGATATGATTTATTGATAATGTAAGACTGTGTACTTGCAAAATCGCTGTTTTCAGCTTATCCAGTGAGTTAACGATTATGAGATACATAAATAATAATCACTTACTCCTTTGGCACCTCTACATAACAGGGAAGGACGTGACTCAGAATCAACCGAGGATTTTGGAGGAATTCCGATATTTTCAGATACATATAAAAAAGTCAGCAGAAGAAGCATCAAAAATTTGCAGATGTCAGAAGAACTTGATCAAATGATATAGGAGATCCCGACATACCTGTAGGCACGGATGCCTGAATCCACACTCATCCCAGCCCCACTGATCGCCAGAACATTCCCAGCACCATGGTCCAACAATCTGATCACGTATGAGACCGCGGTCGAAATATCTGAGATGACTGCTCGCTTGTTCAGGGGGTCGCCAATCGGAATTTTTGGGACTGAGATCCGACCCATAGGCATTCAAGAAGTTTATGGTGGTGGTTGACTGTATGCAGACAAAGATTCCCTGATGACACTGACAGGCAGCCATGGCCTCATCTTCCAGACTTCCAGTTCCTGTTGCTGTGTGTGACATGTTGTCCATCGAGAGCCATGTCACACGCTCTCTATCTGTGACATCCCATAGCCAGGGAAATCTTGAAGCACATTTTGAGCTCCGGGTGGCCGTGGAGGGAGTTGCTCCCAAAAACCCAATGTCCAGTCTCAGCTGCCTGGCGAACTACCGAGCGCTCTATCGGGCTTACCGGAAGACTTCACGACACCCTCGTCCGCCGATCCCTCGGCCTATCAACTCCCAACTCAGGTCGCTCGTCAATGCTGGACTGAAGGACCAGCAGCTCGAGTCGGTCATCAGATACCTCGTCTCCAGTAATCTCCATCAGGTGAGCTTTGCTTCCGTATCTGTCTCCTATCATATACTCATGTTGCATTTTGTTTCTGTGTGCAGGAACTCGTTCGTCGGTATAATCCTGCTGATGATCTGACGGAACCAGAACGCTTGAAGGCGTAAGTCGATAAAAACCAGTAGAAATGATTTCAGCTCAGTTTTTTTTTTTATCTGATTTTAATCTGGCTCTGCCCTCTTCTGATTCCATAGAACTGTGAACCGGGTCGGATTAAATATGCCGAAGACCATGGACCTCGAGACACCGTTATAACAAACTTTAGCTACCCATGATTTCTGAGATATAGCCAACCCGTTTGATCAGCGTATTGTGACCAAACGAACCCAAACATGTGCACCCGCGAAATGCGTATCTTGCATCCAGTGGCTCTCGACGCCAAATATCCCTGATCGATGTGCAAACCTTCTAGCCCGTTGTTGTCCTATAGTATGACAACTAACGCCATAAAGATTTTTTCGTCGTTAAGGTCATCATAGCACGCGCTGAGGGAAGTCACAAGCTAGGCGGTTTATGATAGGCGTTTGTATCGCCGCCACTTGTCTAGCAGACGAACAGAACTTGAATCGATGACTTGATTCCTATAGAGTCTAATAAAACACTCATGAGCAATCTGCCCCCTCCAATCCGACTTCAGGCCACAGGCTTCTCCTCAAAACAAAAATCGGCAATTGTAGCCCCCCTCCATCATTACTCGAATGATCAGAATACAACCCAAGGCGTCCTTTTTTCATTTGTCTGAGTTGGTCCTAGACCATCACATTTACATCCAACTCTTGCAGAAGAGGCGATTGGGGCAGATGATATTACTCACTTGCACATTCTACTCTGTGAAAGGAGAGACACGACCTGTTATTACCCACTTGACTGAAGTCCATAAATAGACTGGGACATAAATGCTAGCAGGTTCCCACATACATACAACAGAGCACTCGTATTTTCAGATGATTTCCATCCCATCTTCTGTGATGGGCAGATGGGCCCCCAAATATGCATCGATCCACTCGAAGTGGCGCCTGCTAATTGACAGTTTCCCATCTGTAGACTCTGTATGTACCCACCTGTCACCTCAGATCTGCTCTGCACGCATGAAGTGGCTTTTTATAAGACACTGTCGGAACGCACTTTGTGTGACACCCTCCGCGGAGTCCTCCGAAATTATAGGGACATTGAAGATCGCTGAACGGTTTCGTGAAGAGCCAGCATGAGTCGAGTCAAGTTCGCCCTTTTACATACAACACATGTTACAGTAACGCGATTTCCTTGCAAGTCTTGTTACGTAGTTCCTCACATTTATCTAGGGGGTCTTACATACTTAATTTGGTCTCTTAATAGCGGATTTATAGTCGCCGTCAAAAGCACGACGGAAACCTGTACCACATCCTACCACATCCATAGAAGGTTTTGTGGTTTGTCGCGGACTGTTTTTGCTGATCACCTCACAATCTATTAGCCTCTATTAGCCTCCCCAAGCCTGTTGCATACATACATAACTTATTTGTACTTCCTATGTAGTACATATAGACCAAGGTGGGCTGTAAGGGTTGGGTACATACGTGTACAGTGCCCTAACCCTCTTTTGTACTACACCCCTGGGCTAACTTAACTAAATCCCTTCCCTTCCTGGTCGGAGTGGTAAACCACTTGTCGCATTGCGCCGACCGGAGGGAGGGACTTACGAGGAAGGTCCACCCCGCGGCCCAAGAGCATTAAGGATTTTGGTGGGGGGGTTTTTAGAATCAATCTCACACAAATTTGGTTGATTGCTTTTCCTCTAGTTTTCACTTGGGGATTCTTTCAAGCTGTCCCCTTCTATGTACTAATTTTACTAATGGTAAACTCATCTCCTTCATTAATGATGACGATTGTAACATTTCCAATTTCAGAAACTGTACAGTGCAAAATGTGTGATGTAGGATGAGGCAGGAGAATTGTAATCACCAAAAATGAAAGTTGAAAGCCATCCAAGGGCCTAAAAAATCAAGAAAATTATGGAATGAATCTCCATGATCTCGTGCATCTTTTGCCTCCCCAAAACATGATCATCAGCCAAAAAATGGTGCTGCTACACACAATTGAAGAATGTGGATTTCCTAGTTCTCTTGGGCCACGGGCTTCACTTAGTGCATAAGTCCCTCCTTCGGAGGGTCCCTGCGGGACGGCGTCCCCCCTCCCATAGAGGGACTTAGCTAAGTTAGACCCCTGGGGGTGTTCCAAATGTTTGAAGCTTTTTTTCAATTTTTTTTCTTGTGTTTTACCTTTTTTTTCTCTTTTTCATTCTTTTTTTTGGCAATTTTGGCTTCTTCCAACCATTTCTTTGACTTTCTTGACTTTCAAATTGGATTTTTTTTGCTAAAGTACATACATATTTAGATGAAAACCAATTCCTGTTTTACGACTTTCATGCAAGGAGGAGTTGAATCACCAAACGTGGTTTAAGAAATCATTGCCAGATAACTTATGTATTTGTTTTTCTTTGCCTTTTTTTAAGATATTATGTAAATTCCACCCCTAAAAGCATACTACATAATACATAAGTCCATAATAGCCCCCAGAAGTCAATACTATGACCTCCCTGGGTGGCTGTTCCAAGTCCTAGAAAAAATAAATTCCAAACTTTTTTATTATTGCACCTACAGACTTGTGGTTATATATTTGGGTTCTACTGCTTCTGTAGAGCCCAAAAATGTATAGTAAGGGTATGTAGCCCTATTTGAGCCAACCAACATACAGCTCAAAGTTCAAAAATAATTTTGCAGGCGCGGTGTTACACAAAAGAGGGTTAGGGCACTGTAGGGGTTGGGCCTGCCGTGGCGCTTCTTGGGTCAACCTCCGCCGAGACGGGCTTGAATGGTACACTTGAAGAATTGCTCCCACATACAAGAACTGCCGGATAAATTCTCAACTTGTTGCGCAGGACATTCGTTCAATTCTTTCGAAGGCTCTTCTCCCATAAAATTAGGGATTCGAAGTCGATGTAAATAATTGTTACGTGTCCCTGGAGTGTATGTAACTGCTAAAGCCAACGCGCGTAAGATGATTTCATGGCAAGCAATCAGGTTGACCGAGTCCGGAAGCCCAACGATGTCATCAAATCCGCAGTGATCATGGCTCTGTTTGCGGAGTGGATGTCAGTTCCTGGCTTCCGGACTCGGTGCTGGTTACATCACACGAGCTCGTTTCGCGTGCAGTGTACTTGGCCGTTATATGAAATCTGATGAAGTTGTTTATGTATTGCAGTTCAATTTGTTGCCGAATGTGTGGTTCGCTGGCGGCTTATGGTGGCTGCTGGCTGGTGGTGTGACTCATAGATCTCGTGATTTCTCCTTCACTTGTGAGGCTCACTCCTAGTACAACCACCTTAACTATTTCGGTACTTACACCTCACACAAGAACCCGCTTGATCGTTATCATTCCTGACTTCCAATCCTTGCGAAAAAAAATAAAAATAAACCTTATCGTCCAATGAGCTTTCTGTACCTTCTTGCGAGTGCCTAATTGATCAGTTCCACCGGGTCACCTACCCCCTTAGACCTTTTATCTTCAGTTCTTCTTCAGTTTTTTTTTTTGTATTCAAACATTCAAAGCTTCACGCGGTAAAAGAAGAGCAAAACCACAGGCCAACAAACTACCCACCATCTCATACACGCACGACATTGCTTTATTCCCTCCGGCGATTTGATAGGTCACCAAATCACTCATGAGTGCCACCGGGCCAAGCTCGCAGTGGGACGACAATGTCCAGCCGAAAATCACTCCCAACCCATACGCGAAGCTTTTGGACCACGTCAACCGAGTCACCTTCCCCGAATACACCGGTCCGGTCCGCAAGGTTCTGCTCGCTTTCGGCTGCATCCATGCCGTCACCGCGCTTGTCTGCATAACTGTCATGCTCATTCCTCTGCGGCGGAGCCCCGAGGCTCGGAAGAAACTTACTTGGCTTTTGCGGAAAAAATATGTCGCATCTAGTTAAGCCCTGGCTCTCATTTCGTTTGGGTTAGAAAAAAAAGAAACAATAAATGATGGAAGAATTCGTCTCGCTTATTGTGATGTGCAACTTTCGCTTATTCCTTCGCAGTCTCCACTCCTTACCACGTCATGAATAGCGGGCTTGTAAGTTAAAATTAATGAAGGATGCACTAAATTTACCAGGATGCTCATCCTCACGCGTGTCTCTTAGGTTGTAGTCGCCGCCCAGCTTATTTCTAGTCTCGTCTTTGTGACATACATTATTCTTGATTATTATAGTCTCAATTCGACTTCGTTTGCTCTGAGGGCTTGTCTTCACGTCTGGTTGGTGATTCTCGCGTATTCCCCATGGACAGAAAATTGCAACAATCAAATAAACTGACATTTATCCCTTTTTTTTCTTTCAAAAAAAAATAAAAAACAGTTGGGAATTATGCCTGTGAATAGAGATATTTCGTATTGTGTGGAACCGCAAATATCCTAATCACATTGATCTTTTTTGCTAGGCTACCTGGATACTTTGGATTCCATGTCACAGCCTTCAGTTCATTGTACACGTGGTTAGTTTTTCCTGCTCTAGAATTCTGGGGCCATTCAGCAGTCCCGAGCACACCATATTTACGTCGTCATTTTGTTTTTGAAAGTCTCTGCTCCCCAAGGTATTCAACAAGAAAAAGGAGTTTATTTTCGCACCCCCTCTTTCTCAACATCCTCTTCTATGGGCTGCCGGTGCTTGTGTCGATACAAACCATAGCGTGGTCGGTTGTCCTTGTTCTTGGCATCAAAGGCGAGGCGGACTCTTACTATGCACTAGCTGCCCACTTGGAGTACGGCTCGGATAATTGGCAGCCTGGACAAAGCTCCAGCAACCCGATTCATAAACGTGCAGTTTATTTACTTGGAAATTACGTAGACCAGGGTAAATACTTTTCCAATTGCTGGATTTGGTCCTCGAGGACATGGTCGGCGATCGGCATTTCACTTGCTCTGGTAAGCCTCCCGTCATAGTATTGTTCGATCCAATAGGCGCAGTTACCTGTCATCCATAGCTTTGACGACGGAAGGAAACTCGAGTTATTGCTGAGAAGCTGATGTGGTATTCCAGTTTTATGCACTCAATGTCGCAAACTTGCTCTACGTGCTGAGACAATGCCTGAAAGCGTCACAGACTCCACACCAATTCAGTGGAAACGCGAGGCCGGCCGACACACTCGACCATAACGTTCCGTCTTATTGTCGCGAAAACCTCGAATCGCCCACTCCTCGGATAACTCTTCCCGAAGTCCCGATGGGCAACTCGAAAAAATTTCCCCGGTCTATTGTCGCTCAACCCTCCGTCAAAGAGCTCAAGAATGGGTATAGTAAGCCGCACTCCCATCGTCTTTATGTTTACGCGTTTACCCATGTGACTAAACCTTTGTCAATCCGAACTCTGCAATTTCTGGTAGTTTATCTAATCGTGCACTGTACAATCATGCTGTTGGACCTGTGTATCCACGTCACTACTTCTACAATAAGAACGGTGCACTACGAACAGTCTATTGTGGAGTAAGCTTGCAAACATTCAAGTTCAGCTAGTTGCTACATTCGCTGACAATCGCTTTTTTGTGTTGTATGATTTCCAATCTTCAGTAAGGGTTGGAGATCGAGGACTACCTGGTTAGTGCTACTAGGCTCTACTTTGGCCTCGTTGGCAATGATCTTTCACAGTGTAAGAATTCGATCATTGGGTTTTCCCTGTTCTCTCGCATGGAAGAACACTAACGTAATGTTATCCAATGACCTTGCTCTCCAAAAGTGGAGAATCTTTACCGAACGTGACAAAACCAATGTTCCGGAGCCCAATCCTGGAATCCTTGTCCGAAAGTTTCTCACTTCTCATCGTGAAGGACCCGAGCCAGACTCCAACACGCCCAACTTCACTTTCCAGCGGCAGAAGTCGCACGAAACCGAGCCGAGTAAAACAGACAAACTCGAGCACAATGTCTTATCCAAATCCAGCACACCCACTTCTGATTGGTCGATCAACCCGATGCAACCATCTCGTTCACCGCCTCAATTCTCGGCATTAGATGATATCAATCGTTATACATCATACGAAATGCCCCCGATCAGCGAACGCGACAAGTTGGGCGGTTATCTTTGCGTTCCATCTGCTCATGTTTCGTAGTCAGAATTATCTGTTGACATTCATTCCTGTAAAAGAAAAAAAAAATATTAAACATTAAACTCAAAGAAATAGAAGTATTTATACCAGCTGGCTGAAACGTCTATTTCGCATGTATATTTTACCATATATGTTAAATTCTACTGGTGTAACTATCAATTGTTAACACACTTTATTAGCCCAATAATCACCGGTACCAATGACTTGCCCGCTGCCATCCTGTGGTTCAGCTTAGCCCCTCTATTTTCGGGGTGGGGGCGCTGTCCAGCAGGGAGCCTTCTATCTTTCTTCGGGGCAATGCACGGGTGCTTAGCCATCAGATTTCCAAAGGGATGCACCTTGTGTTATTCAATTTGACTGAGTGGGATTTACTTGCACGATCTTACCAGCAAAAGCGTCCCAACAGCTATATTTCAAAGCAAAATTTACTCTCAATCATAAGATATGTGATTTCAGACACTGATATCGAGGCAAGATTCCTGAGAGGAAACCATGGATCTACTGGTCACTGAGTCAACTGCACTACAAGATAATTTACAGACAACTAGTTTGATACCAGAAGCTTTGAAAACGTCCTTTACGAGCTTTTCTTGCAAGGGTCTGTCAATCAGATTCATCTGAGTCAAGAAAACGATTGGTCACCGCGATCCTCTGGGTTAAAAAAAGCGATACAAACAAATACATGAGAATTGCTGTCAGAGATGGCGGATGTAAGACAGATGACTCACCGCTTTCTTGCTGGAATGAGCTAAATTGTCTGCAAATGCGTTTGGGGATGATACAGAATTGGTTCTCTTCATTTGATCTGGAGCGTTTCCATTATCGGATGCCGCGTTGATTCGAGAATATGAGCTTTGGATCATAGTCCGATTGATATCGTGGCCTGCGCTGTTACCGGATGGTGCTTGATCGATATGTTTCTCATGCTTTCTGTTATTCAGTTGCTGATATGCCTGCAACCAGTTTGTATTCAAGGTGGAGAGCGGGATACCATCAGCTCGTATTAGCAGTGATTGCAGTCCATGAGAGTAGAGCTTGAGCTTGCAGAATTATTGGCTAACTTCGCAAGTGATACTCAAAAGGTTGAGGAAAGGTTTTCGCTTCGGAGTTGGCGAAGGCTCGTTGTCAGAGTTCAAGCGGGCTAATGAGATGGTGAAAGCGCCAGAAGTTGAGTATCCTATCGTCACCTGCTCGTGTCAAATCCACCACATCCGCTTTGATTCAGAATCTGTGCTGGTGTCAGCCCAAGTTCAATGGAAAGCTCACCCGAACTTCCGCCTCATTACCTTCCCGGTATCCTATCAAAGTAATATCATCATTGCGGAAAGATGACCTTATTTTATCTATGAGTTCGCCACGTGACTTTGAAGGCACTAGATCCTGTAATTCCTCCATTGACCTTCAGCCAGTTAAATTGACATAACCAATTTCAGTACTTTTTTTCCAAACGTGAAGGATTCATGTTGAAGTAGCTCGCGGTCTTCTCCGGCAGATGACTCACCATTTACCTTCCCACCAAGTCTCTCGAGGGCCTGCAGGAGTTTCGGGAACGGTAGGTCCAATCAGGCTGAGGTGCCATACCTCTTCTCCAATCACCGAAGAGTACAGCAATAGCAATTCTTGGCTAGACCTGCAGTTTGTAGGATGGAGTGCGAGCGCAAGCTTGGACAGGCATGATAACTGTTCGTTGGTCATCTTGCCGTTGGCAGAGGGTGAGGGAGAAACTGAAGAACCATATTGAGTCGACAAAGGTCTTCCATGGGCTGGAAAATGGATCCGACTGCAGATCTTTACACAGCATATCCGATCAAGAGCTGTGGGGCGATCCGCTGTTGAGAATGCTGCGCGGTCGTGATCTGCTCCCGGATAACAAGCCCATCGGATCGTGGGCTGCCTAGTGACGCTGCTTGACGGGGCAGCTTGGAGATCAACGATATCAGATTATTCCTACCAACAACTGCAAATTCCGCCAAGAGCTTTCGTCACTACATATCGCCTCCATAATTCGAACAACCTACTCGAGTGCAAGGCCCACTGACTACCAGCGAACCAATCCATCCTAATTCAGTATACACGAAGAACAACAAAAAAACTATGGAAGTAATATGGGACTCCGAAAGGTTAGTGTAGTCTCTTAGGCTATCTATTTTCTGAAAATTCTGTCTAGCCCCGCCTCCAAGGGCTTGGGTATGGATATAACATCTGGACTGAATTTGATGCGCCAATCTGACTTGGTATTAATTTTTGTCGGACGATCTGACGATGCGGAACCTGTTCGTGCTGTGCTCCAGATTCTCCGTAGACCTCCCCGTTAGCAGTTTCACCCTGGGGAGCTTCAAGCGTTACCTGGCATCACGAACGGGAGTCCCAGCGGAACATATGAAACTCTTCTGCAATGCAGGCCTCATGAAAGATGACAGTGCACCCCTGAGTGCATTTCAACCGGAAGTTGATAGTCCCTTGGATCCCGGCGCCCAATCGAGCAGTCCTCTCACTCGCAGCAGGCTATGGAGTGGCATATTCTCTGGGACCAAGAAACGTCAGATATCCCCAATGCGGATCAGAATGGTTGGAGCCAAAGAAACGAGGAGCATCGTCTCCGACCGTCCGGATCTCAAACCCACCACAGCCCCATCGAACCAGAATCTTAAACCACAAGCCGGATCGAATCCGGAAATCATGAATGAATCTCGAATAATCTCCCTGATAAATGAGTTGACTCAAAAAGCACTCAGTGATAATCTACCCCGAGTCGAGCGATATGAAGGCATGATTCCGACGGAACGAGGTTCGGATGAAGTCCCTGTTGATCGACCCCTGAATCCGCAGAATACACAGCCAGTCCAGGCCCAATGGGATCCAACAGAGTTTGCTGGTGTCTCGGAAGTGCTCCTGCAGGCGTTGCTCAAGCTGGATGGATTTGAGATTGAAAGCGAGTGGACGGAAGCCAGGATGGCCCGTAAAGAGGGAGTTCGGGCTGTTCAAAAGCTCTTGGGTCAGTCTTCAAACAAAATATCCTTTTTTTCCCCTTATTCTAATCATTGGCATGCGTGGGTATTAACAGATTGTTCACTGTAGATCGACTGGATCGGGTGAAAGGTGCCACTGGTCCCCAAAGGTAACCGTGAAGAGGATATCAAAAGCGGGACGTCTTCGTTCATCTTCGTATCAATTTCTGAATCGTCAATTCCATAGCATCAATCAACTTTTCCAGAAAACGCTTCCTCCGAAAAAAATCTAACCGCAGAAACGCAGCCAGCCAAATCCCGTGTGAATTGTCCTGCCATATCTGTGCATGATTTTTCACAAGAAATACTGAAGCTATCAGTAATAAAGCCCAGATTTTGTGGATCCATTCAATTGATATATCTCAAAATAAATTCTGTTGTTATTGGATGTTTGATATATGTATCCGGAACGATGTTATCATAAGAGCCTTCTATCTCAGATCACGAGGAAATTAATTTGGAGAATTTTAGTGGTACCCATTATAGTCTGGCACAGTCATTTCAACCTATCATAGAAATTTCAGTCATATACTACACAGCACTTCTTGTACGACTTTCCCCTCCCCTTTTTTAAGTCAATTACCTCCTTAAGTTACTCAGCCGCTTCCACACTCCAGCATCCTCATTTCTTCCTCGTTGTACTGATCTACTATTGTCTCAACAATTATATTTTAAACGCACAAGTTGCTCGTTTAAAATACTCCGTATCACTCTGATCATCTTCCAAGTGGATTGTTGTAAACTCAGAAAGTTCATGCTTTGCTGCCGCAAACCGCAAGTATTACTCCTGATTCAATTATCAAGTCTGTAAGTCAAGGCACTAATCAGATTCAATGAGCTCGATCTCGTACAAGTGTTAACTCAATGTAAGCCCTGGGCGAGACGCGGCCTATATGACCAGGCTTACAGCCGTCATTTCATTGCTTGAGGTTTTGATGGGGAAACATCTGGACCATAGTAATGGTTTGGGTCTGGGGTTTGTAATTCATTCAGTTGCTGGCAAATAGATGGTCCGGCTGTAAGACTTCAAGAAAGCAGAACAAACAATGACAACATTTGTCTCTGAACTTAAAGACTAGACTCTCTCCTCCGGAGGAAGCATACTGAAAGGCAGCATCTCATATCTCACTCGTCCTCATTCAAGCTACTGTAGCCGACGTTCACAATCATAGCGATGTCTGTTCTAGCCTGATTATAAAGTCCCTCCAAAACTTGGAGGGTGATACGGGGAGAGATCCTCTGGACCTCCCTGCGATCGACCGCCTGACAATGTCTCACCACACAAGGTAAAAGATGGTGTGACAAGAGGACATCTCTCGCGTTGTAACGCTTATTTAGCAATATTTTTTATATAATGTTTACTTGAATCGTTTTCGTAGAATATCATTACGCATAACCAATTTCGCAACACATCGCAATACCAGCGGCAATTCGACTCCTCCTCCTTATATAGCAACATAAAAAACCTGACAATTAATATTACTTATGTAGACGAAAAAGTAAGGAAAGAATCAATAGTTTCCTCTGTTAGCTTTGTTGATACGGTAGAAGAACGAAGAACAATAGAAAGAGGACGCACTAGCGAAAATATAAATATCTTCCCCGTTCAAGAAATGGTGAAACATGGTAACCCTTGGCTTGGGTTCTAGAGGAAATGTCGGTTTGAAGAAAATGTTAGAATGAAGAGCATCTTGTTTGTTATGAGGATGAAGAAGGCCACATGACTTACCAAACGATAATTTAAGCGAGCTCGTACTGGGAAGCCTCAGTTTATTGAAGCGAATTGTAGCTAGAAAATAGCGTAAACGGACCATCAGCTGACAGCACCCACGGAGAGAGGGGCGAAAGGACTCGTTGGGAGTGATGTTGCATTTGCGGATATTAGAGCTAGATTACTTACAGCAATAAATTTGGCGTGGAGCTTGGATCGGAGTCGGCAGGACCTAAGTAAATGACATTCTGGGTCGCATCTCGTTTGAGCTTATCGGACATCTGTTGAGTGGTGTAGTTCTGTCGACTAAGATGAGCAGCTATCAGACCAGCCACGTGGGGAGTGGCCATACTGGTTCCGGACATTCTTTTGACGGCATCATCAGCCGAGAACCAAGCGGAGGAAATATCTGTGCCGGGCGCAAAGAAGTCAACGCAGGTTCCCCAGCTGCCGTAGGAGGCCCGATTGTCTTTGATGTCACTGGCAGTCACGACACTGTAAAGATCAACGCAGGATTGGTCAGACTACCCGCCTTGCAGACTGATACATATATAAGTAAGAAAAAGAGCTTACTTGGCACCAGAGACAGAAGCGGGACTCGAAAGACACGCGTCGGTATTCGAATTTCCGGCGGCGACTACAAAATGAAGCCCTTGGTTGATAGCAGCCTGAACAGCACGGTCCAAAGCGGAGTTTTTGTCACCACCTAAGGATAGCGAGACCACTGAAGGTTGATATCCAGAGGCTTTGTATTGTTGCAAAGTATACTGAACACCGGCAATCACGTCACTTGAACAGAGCCAGACAGACGCGACACGAGGGAGATAATTATCAGCTCAACCCAGATTCGAGGATAGCGAGTTTTGGAAAAAGAAAGACGACTTACGAAGTGGAGCCACTTCCATCGTCAGCAAGAACTTTGATTGCTTTAACCTGAGCCTTTTTGGCAACGCCCCAGCGGTTTCCAGCAACGATACCAGCGCAATGAGTCCCATGGCCATTTCCGTCGTTCAAATCATCTACAGAATTCCAATGAATGAGGAAATCAAGACATAATAAAAGTACAAGTTAGAATTTCGGATCACTTACATCCACCGAATTGGGCAGCCATCTCGACACGACCCCCAAAATCATTATGAGTCTCACGAGCACCGGTGTCCAAGATATAAACGATAACACCTTCGCCAGCCGGCTGAGAGTAATAATAGTCATAGTTGACCGCAGCAGAGTTGGCTCCATGGGTGGTGATCACTTTCCTCTGGTCGATTCTTTGAAGGCCCCAAGGTGCGGTTCCCTTTTGAGAATAATGGTCGGGAACTCCTTGGGCGTTGACGGTCGCGTTGTGGGAAGGTTCGACCCCAAGACCGGTGACAGCCAAAGCATCAGAAATTACTTCATCGATCGGATGCACGCTCACCAACGTGTCGGGGATAATTTCCTGGACCTATGGGCAACGAGTCATACGGAATTACAGCTTGTTAGCGCATCTACTCTTCGAACATTAGAAAAGAGCGATAAGTAGAGGGAGTATTTACCCCAGCACTTCGCGAGAGGCTTTTAAAGGCTTGGTCGTCCAATTGGGCGCTAAAACCTTTGAAGCCCACTTCTTGATAAACGTAGCCTACTTGGTTTTCATTCAACGGTGAACCACTACCTGATGCCCAACTCTTCTTCAAAGCAGACACGAATTCTGAGACTTCAACCTGGTCATTGAGCAGGACTATATAGCTCTTATGCGACTCGGTGGCAGGAGCATTTTTCGACACAGGTCTCAGGGTGGAACGGTTCTTAGTAGGCGTCGAGGTTTTATTCCTCGGAAGATTGGGAGGATTCTCAAGCGTGGCGTTGTTGCCAGGATGTTTCTGCGTGAGCGGCGGGACTAGGGATCCGGTTTCTGGGATGAACCAAAACGAGAGTTGGACTGCCAACAACAATGACATGGAGATCTTAGATCCAAAAATGATCGTCATCTTCGTTCGAGAGAGATAGCTAAGGGCGCAAGGAAAAGGTTTTGCTAGTTGGGTCGAAGGGGCAGGCTTGATAAGGATACTTGGTGCGCGAAGCTTGGCGGATGATGAAGTCTTCGAACGTTAAGTTCAAGTAAAGCAAACAGATTAAGTCGTTCTGGGCAAACCCGATATCAATCAGAAGCAAACAAGTTGCCTGGCCGCAGGGTGGAAGTGAAGGATGTGAAGGAGATAGATTTATTATAAAAAGCAAATGTGAATGAACGTGTTGTGATCGGAAAAAACAGATTGTGGCGCCTAGCTAAAAGTCTACTTCGTTCTGACAGGACCCTGATTTATATAGGCTGGAAGGAATTCGGATTTCATATATTTCCTTCGAGCTGCCGAATTGCTCGGGTCGTTGCCAAGATGCTTTGTTCGCTACTATCAAGAAGCAGTTACCCTGTTCGACCTATAAAATGTCGCTTTGCTATCTTTCCTTTTTTTGCCCTGACACCAGTCCTGACACTGCTCTGATAAAAGTGGTGAACCGTCGAGCATTTCTCGGAGGCAGGACAGACGCTGATTTAATCAAGACTGGGGGTTGAGAAAACATGAATGAATCCAAGCTGCTGCAAAACGTGGCGTGGTCTATGCAAACTTGCGTGAAAGAGGTGAGCTGCCGCTCAGACGATCCAATATCATCATGCCACTGGCCAGCTGCACCGTCATCCAGGAAACCGGACCAAGCTATCAGGAAACAAGAGCGTGGGCTGTGGTGAGGGGGGTGAGCGAAACCAGGAAAACCTTAGAACTCGTGGCTACCCAGAACTTTTGATACTGGCTTGACGAACGTGAGCGACGCGTATCTCGTGTGCAGCGGCAAGCGGGGCAAACACTGGGAGTTTTGCAGGTTACTCCTGCAATCCGGGAAATTGGGCTTCAATGCGTTACTCCGAGCTTTCTGGTATTCTCCCCCAGCGGAATGGGGCCCAGTCAGTTGGAATCGTAACTTGCTAAGGTCCGAGTCAAGTTGGTTTTGAATTTCACATTATCAAGAATATCACACTCTGTTCTGCTTGTTCTATGGAGTTGTTCTTATGCAGACTGATCAACGGTTACGAGTGAGTATACATAAATAGGTTCATACTCACCAACAGCATCGCATATGTGATGCATCTGACTCGCCTGCAGAACTTGGATGATTGCTTATGAGTGCGATGAGATGGCGTCATGGAGTTCATGATATGTGGTCGAAATCATGATCAAATCACATACACAAATGGTTTGTTGTATCCTACCTAGTGTTCAAACGGAATTTAGGCTGTTTCCTTTGTCTCTATGTAATCAGGAGTGTGCAATTTGAATGAGGTTTGTCTTGATTTTTTCAAGACCTGTAACAAATACAAACTGGTAGCAGATATGGTTATGCTATGGGTATATGACATTGATAATTTTTGCGGCGATGACTACGACTAGGTAACAAGCCAGAAAACTTCCGATATGGTTGAGAATAGCCCCTTTCAATTTGAAGAACAAACATCAACCCCACCTTTGGCTCATTCTTCTGGTAAGAACGATAGGTCTGCAGATCGACGGTTCCAGTAAGCTCATGTAGGTAGCTGAGATTCCAATCACCAGATCTGATGCTTTGACAAAGTGCAATTTGATTCCTCTAACACCGGGGCTACTCCTTCGACAAATGTGCAGATCGATGGACGATCGAATCTACTGGGAGGTCGATTTGAGCTGTGCATCGTACTGCGCTTTTTCTTGCTTGTACAGATCGCTCCTTCTCTGCCCTTCGATGACATATTCCTAAAGGGCCCATAGTCCACATTAGTCATAAAGAGGAGGACAAAGAGTAGATGGCAGACTGACTTGTTTAACCTCGTCTGGCATAGATTTCCAGTAATTTGCCAAGATTCTCGATCCTTCGACGGCGCTGGAATTCGGTTCCTTTTCCGATGAGCGAATCTGCTCAGAAAGGTCCGGAAATTTCGACGGATTCGCTCGCAACTCTCCACAGAAGATCATGAACCCATTCAATGGCCGTTTAGGCGCGTTAGGGTCCAACTTCGGGATACCTTTTCTGCCCGTCGAGCGGCCCTGGGCCTTCCGCCGACGTATGTACTCGTTCTGGTTGATGTAATCATTGGGCGTCAAAGAGTCGAGGAAGTCACGCATTTCGATTTCATAGATCTCGCGTCGTCGGTCTAACTCAGCGAGGTAATTCTGATGGAAACATGATCACATCGAAAGTGATGTAGTTGAGTGAGACAAGAGCCCGAATCCAATTGCACAATTAGTGAAATTGGTGCCATATGAGCTCATCATTGAAGAAAACTTGATCACGTACCTTCTTATCAGCGTCGCTCAACGATCTATATTTTTCAGCAGCTATCGTGAAACACTGTTTGGCATCTTCCTTGGTTAATTTGCCATTTTGTTGTTTGAGTTCCTGGTTGAGAGTAGCAACAAAATTAGTTAAGCTAGCTGCTTGAAGTGAAATGACTGTAAAAATTGAATGGATAACGTGCTCGAAATCCGGAAGGATAGATGGAACAAATGAGAGACTAACGGCCATCACATCTTGTGTGACTAATTGCATGACGTTCATTGCTCTCTTGGGGGGGACCAGTTTCTGGGGTCGTGTTTCTATAGGATGCAGCGAGAGGGGAAAAATGTGAGCCTCTGGTTGCGCTGAAAAGGCGCAAATTGTAGAAAAAAGAACCTACTGGTTGCTGGCTTATTTTTAGCCTTGGGGGTGCTACTTTGCTTTGATGATGGTTTCGGCTGTTTTACCGTGGCCTCGTCTGCGAGGCTAGACTTGGAAGAAAAACGGAGTTGGCCAAGGATCACCAAGCGATTTGAGGCACCTAGAGGGACCGAATGCAAGCTCCATCTGGGGTGGGATCGTAGGAATACCGAGGCCATTGCGATATGTTTGGTGGTTGATGATGAGGCTTGGCAGTGCTCTTGCCAACCGACCCGAGCCTGGACACGATGGAAGCCCCGATCGAGCGCACCAAGAGCGCGCCAAGACAGGCGTGCGCGGGGGCGTCTTTTTCAGCGGACCAGAGGCCAGAAGTTGACTCATCCTGCCATGGACAATTCTAAGATGAAAGATAAGTTGTTTGTATGACAGATGAGTAGGATGAAATCACAAACTGGAGAAAATAAAAATATTCAACAGATCAGGAGTCAAATAAGGGCATTAAGTCACCCTTCCCCAAACTAGAATAACAATATTAGTTGGTTGTGTCAACTCCTCCTATCTCCACCTCTGACCTCAAAGCTGATGATAATTGAAGGGTAGAAAATGGCACCATCTTGGAGTTCGAAGCCTTTAAAAACAGGTTCAATTATGAAAAAAAAGTGTTAGTTTTGTTGTATTTTATTAATAATGGGCCAATCAAATATCCTACTTTCAAGATAGTTTCTGCATGTCAACAGGCAGCAGTTTCTTGAGGATTTCTCAGTGTCATTTCACTCAAAATCCAATCATTTACTGCATGTGACAGATGCTGGCTTCTGAAAAAAGTAAGAAAAGGCCTCCTGTGGCAAAATCTGAGCTTGAAATACAAAGGCCTCCAGCCAGAATGAATTGAGCCCTATAGTATTGACCCAACCTAGCATGAGCTGAAATCAGAATTTAAGCAAGGTGGAATTTTTGGAAGCTTGCAATTCCTTGCTTTTGTGATTTGTTTCTTGAGAAATTGAATGTCTGTTTTTTTGCATATTGGAAGACCACCATTAAATAAATACACCACAAGAAGAATTACACAAGCAATAAATCATGCCATATGTAGAGAAAACAAGAATAAGAAAGATTCTGGCCACAAAGGTTCTAAAACATGATAATCCACAATGAATTTATGGCAAATCATTCTCTCTGGTATTAGTAAATTTGATAGATTGATCTCATTCTTGTCTTCAATTTTGATGATGCATGTTTCCTCAAGACCTTCAAATCAAGTTTTGCTTTGCTTTCTAATCACTTTTTGGATAACTCTTGTTCTCATTTAGGAGTAATGATTAGGAGAGTCTTAGAGTTTTCAATTGATGTATATGCATAAACACAAGCATTGGAAAGTGTGTTGGTTGATTGGACTTGACATGAACAAATGGTGTTGTAGAAACTTTGAGACAAACAACAAAGAAACAATGTATTCATATGATAAGTTTGGACAGCATATTCACATGACACATGCTCCAAATAAATGGAAAGAAGAAGAGAAAGGTTTGTATTGAATCAAGTCATCTCATGATTTGACAATAAAATCCAATAGAATCTTGATTACATCAACATGGAAAGACAAAGAATTAACGGGAGACGCATTGAGTTATCATGGCTCCATAGATCTGAAGTCCCACATTCCTGGTAACAGTTCGTATTTAGATGGGCGTAATTCATCGTCGAATATGGTTTCAATCAAGATGGTATCGTTGACTGAGCTCATTCCAGATCTGCCAATCCCAGGCCCGTTCATGATTGTTCTGGTCTTCAGCAAGGATGGATCATGGTCCGCTTGAGGATCGGGTTGGGAGCCATTCAATTTCTGGCGTTTGCTGCACCTCGTCCACTCCTCAAGATCGTCCGCCGTCTCCCAGATGGCCGCGGTGGATTGTGTATCTTGTCGAACATGGGGCTGGCCGGTATGGACGTCCAGTAGACCCATCACGGGTTGCTTGGGCCTTTGCTCAACCACTTTGGTCGTCGTTGTCCACCAATCATTTTGCGCCTTCTTGCCGCGCGATTTGAAGAATCGTTTGTGCGGCGAACGTGCCCGTGCTGGGTGGATGCCAGAGCCACCCACCCTAGATGAATCACCCCCGCCCGCTGCTTGCCCGGAAGCACCTTCCCCTGAGTTGTTCTGATCTTGAGATGTCGACGAGTGTTTCACTCCATAGATAGTGATTGTCGACGTAGGGGGGAGCGGACTGGTGATTCGGGAAAACACTTGAGATGGCTCAGGCGCTGTAGCCGATGGACCTCCGGCATTAGAATTATTGTCGTCGTCGTCATCTGGCTCTTCCTTCGTGTCCATCTCCTCGCCAGGCTCCATCATCTTTCCGTCCCCGTTCAAGCGCATTTCCACTTCGACCTCTCTCCACTCCATCTCTTCATCACCTGCATTATCAGCACTAGTTGAAGGATCTTCTGCCAAACGGGCGATCGATGGGTACTTTGGAAACTTGACCATACGCTCGTTTCGGATGCCACGAAGATGTCGGTTCATCTCGCTAATAGCTCGACAGTACTGTATCATCCAATTCTTAGCGGTGAGATGACTAGCCATCCGACGCCTCCGCTCCTTTGAATCATTTGGGATTGCGATCGAAGGAGCCTTGCCGTCGCCGCCAAAAATTGTTTTCAGTCCTAAAGTAGCCGAGCCTGCTGCGGATGGGTTGACGCGATTCAGCGCTAGACGAAATGCACTTTGGCAGGGCAGTCGCGTCGTGCTCTCCGGCACATCAGCCACGGCGGGGCCTGCGGATGGATCTCCGGGTTGTCCAGGGGCGGCATTGGTTGCTGTTCTGTCCTGGGGCTCTAACCCATCGGCGAGAGCAACTTCTCCTAAGTTTGCCCCACTGGCTAATGCTGCATCCTCATAATAGTCATCAACCACCTGTCTACCATCTAGAACATTCAATTGGTTGTCCAATCGGATAGAGAAGTCAAAACCGGAACAGTCAGTTCAAGATTTCTTTGAATTTTACGAGTTGATTCAATAATCGAGAGGGCCGAACCTTTTAAAAAGCGTGCACCCATCACTTTGAAAGCGTTCCTTGCAGAACACATGGTCACAGCTCGTGATTTGAGGTTGCCAGATAGAAAACCAGCGCAAATCAACTCGTCTTTTTCTATCTGGGTACAACTAAAGAAAAGTTAGCAGACAATGAGACACTCCCGCTGATGAACCAAGGAAGACAAGAAAACAAATGAATTTTATGACTCACGGGAGCTTTTGAATCAAAGGATTTCGTCGGAAGAAATACAACGAGTCTCTGTAACCTGCAGCTCTCGCGGCATCGATCGACAGCATGAAGTGCTTGTTGGGATTCGACCTATTTTTGGAAGTGAACGTTGGAATTTTATATTGCCGACCTGTACAAACGAATCGAGAAAAAGGCATTGGGGCTCAGATCGACGAAAGATAACGCGTTTCGTGAGGGCTGAACCGCTTGACTTACCGCCCAGCAGGACGCCTTCTGGAGTGACTTTTGTGTCGCCCTTGGGGTCACTGGGAAGGGTTAGTTCATCATCCTCGACCAAGTAAGTGACACCTTGATGGACTTTGGTCTCGCACCACCGCGTATTACCAGATGAGTCTCCGGCAGTCCCTGAGGGGTGGATATGTAATTCGCCGTTTTCAGTATGAGTGATGAGTCTTCTTACGGTCTCGATTCGACTATCAACTTTGATTTTGCGAGATAATACTTGAGAGGAAGAGCCGGTTCCCTTCATTGGTCTACCGATACTCCAGGCGCGTTGATCGCCATCCATCGTTGCTTTGGCTTTCTTGGCTGCCTTGGATTGGAGTAGTAGCTGTTCCTTCTTGGCGATCCGGGCTAATCTTTCTTGTTCCCTCTTCGCTAGCCTTTCTGCCTTCTCTCGTTCCTTCATCTCTTTCTTCTTTTGACGCTCCCGCTGTCTGGCAATTTTCTCTAGTTCCTTTCGTTGGCGAACGGTCATTGGCTTCTGGACGAGAGGAAATGCCATTTGAGGAGCCGCTGGATCGGGTAAAGTGCTAGGTCCTCGTTCTTCGACTTCTTCTTCCTCATCCTCTTCTTCCTCCTCCTCCTCTTCTTCCTCTTCTTCCTCCTCCTCCTCCTCCTCTTCCTCTTCGTCACCTTCATTCATTCCATCCTCCACCTCGGCGGCGTCTTCTTCACCTTCGTCTTCCTCTCCTTCCCCCTCTTCTTCACCTTCATCATCTTCTTGACTTCCATCATCTTCCTCATATTCACCTTGTTCTTGACCTTGCTGGAATGCGTAAGTATACTGTTGCAAATCTTTTTTGTTTTGCCCGTTTCAAATTTTAAGTCTGATTAGCCAGCAGATTGATGAGTTGGGCATGAAGGAACGAGTTTTAATCTGACCTGGATGGGTGAAAGGAAGTGCTCGATTCATCGTGAGGGTGATTGGTGGTTCGATGGCCTTGGATATCGACAAAGGGTAATCCGAGTGGTGTCGCGTGCTGCTGTCCGCGGAAAACAGGATAAAGACTCCACGGATAACATCTACCGGGTTTCTCGGGCTCGGGGTCGAGTTCTGCCTTGGGATTGTCCTGTCACCTGTCTACAGGTGTGACATGTGGCTGTGAGGGGCTGTCACCGATACATCCTTACCCCGACGCACGGGGCGAGGCCCCCCGTACCTACCCGATGGTCATTATCCGGATTCCCTCTTGAGGTCGACTGATACTGCCAGCTGTTGTTGACCATCTTTCTTCATCAAGCTTCCGTGCTTGCATCTCCACCCGATCAAGACCAAGAAGAATGGCCACTCGAAGCGCTCGTGACAACAAGGCCCTCAATGCCCGCCATGCTGAAGTATTGAAGGCCATGCTCCGCCAACCCGAAAACAAACTGTGCGCCGATTGCAAGAGAAATGGTCAATCGATTCAGCTTCCTCTGTTTTCCCAATCGATGATGTCACCTCCCACCGACTGACATGCTGGATTTTTTTTGCTCGTTTCTCTAGATCCCAGATGGGCTTCAACCAATCTAGGGTGTTTCATGTGTATCCGCTGTAGTGGCATCCATCGAAGTATGGGTGTCCACATCACCAGAAGTGTGTACTCCTTCTTTGATGCAATGCTCTGATTACTCAAAACAAGAAGTCTGACACAGCTCGCATTCCCCAGTCAAATCCATCGATCTTGATACTTGGACTCCCGAACAAGTGGCTTGTGTTCAACGATGGGGTAATAAAAGAGCTAATGCATATTGGGAGGCTCATCTCCGACCTGGACATATGCCTCCGGACCAGTTAAGTACAGTCTTAATCTGCTGTGATTTGATTTGCTAACTGGCATTGATGATATAACATTGCGATCAAAATAAATTTTAGTAAGATCGAAAGCTTTATACGCAGCAAATACGAAAGTAAACGTTGGGCGATGGAGGGTCCTCTACCAGAGCCAGAGACGTTGGATGATGATAAGGATGTTGCTCCTGCTCCTGTAAGATCACTCTCATCGATCTCAGCTCCACAAAAATCACAGAGAATTAAAGTTGATCTAAATACTTATTTTCCTTCTGAAGCCCACGGCTGTTTCCCAGAACGCTGCCCCTTCACACCCCACGATATCCAAAGTCACTCCACCAACGATGAGCAAACCTGCCACCTCAGCCTCAGCGACGAACAACCCCTTAGATTTCTTTGACAGCCCGAATGACCAACCCGTGAAAACAACTTCTGGACCGGCGAGCGTCAAGGTCGTAAATAATGTTCAACCGAGTGTCGGTGGAGGCTTGTTTGACTTGGATTTCTCGCCCCAGGCCTCGGCAGCTGCAGTCACTGCCACCGCTCCTGCTGGGAGGAAGGATGTCAAGAACGATATTCTTTCACTCTTTGCAGTCAAACCTCAGCAAAGCTACACAAATCCAATAGCCCAAGCCCCAAACATAAACGCTGTCAACAATCAGTTCAATGGTTTAAACTTCGGGGCAAGCAACACGATGCCCCAGGTCAACAACGTGAATAACGTGAGTCCTTTCAGTCTTCTATCTCCCGAGCTGCATATTGACTGGCTTCCTCATACTCTTCCAAAGCCCTCGAATCTATCCCAAAACAATTCATTCGGCGATAGTAACAATGTCTGGGCTTCTCCCGCTGATCAACTACGCCAACAGAGCCAAGATCCATTCGGCAGCTTCACCAGTGGTACCACTTCAACAAACGGCAACAACAAAGACGTCTTTTCTGACATTTGGAGTTGATCCTATCACCGCTGTCACTGCTCACAGGCTGGGTTCTTCTGCGAGCTCTTTTTCCCCCATCTTTACTGGTTGCCCCCCCGGGTATTTTACTGTTTAGGGAAACATGTTAGAAAGCATCTCAAAAAATCCTTCCGATTTCGACCACTTGTGTCATATCCCTCTTTCACTCCCTGCTTCGATCCTGGCTTCATTGACATCCTATCCACAGGGATTCGTCTATGATTTCAATTTTGAGCAACGTTCACATTTTTTTTGCGTGTGTGTTCTATGTTTTCCCATTTCATTTCGACCCTAGTCTCCTCTCTGGATCAACAAAAACTGAATGTATTATTTTTATGTACATGCATGGTGGAACCAAATCAGATAATAGACTTCACAAACTCAGCATATTTACATATGATGAGGTTTTCTGGGGAAATTCAACTTCTTATAATTATTTGTTTGTGTTTTACTTGCAAGCTTTCAGTAAATTGTGTTGCAGTGAACTCTGAGAAAGATTTTGCCACGACAATGATTGTGTGCTTTGAATAGCTATGGTTGGTACATATATTGAGGGAGGCAGAATTTTGCTAAACACGTCTCTTCCAATTAGCCATCATTGAAAGGCAAGCTGTATTTTTTTCTGAAGATTGTTTGGTTTCTTGAGCTGGTATTATCATATTGAAACTGGAAGCCATGCAGTTCATGATGTGAAGGTTGTCTACTTTGAAAACAAGATCAAAATCACAGTTCCCCCGAGCTCAAGATCAGGTGAAGAAACCCTTTGTTTTGAGGTGGCTTCTTGTTGGTTGACTCTCTGAGCTGAAGGGAGCCTTAGACTTTGAACTATTTGGCATGATTGAAATACATACGAATCCTAATGAGTTTGTGCTTTCTTCATAAACATATTAAAATCTCAAGTTTGTCAGAGAAAAATCAGTCATTGTGGGCCTTGATTACAAATTAGAAGGATAATGCGCTGATGAGAGTTATGGTAGAGCCATTCAATTGGCAGCCCCACCTTTCACAATGGGGCATACAAGTTGCGGCTGTATGAAATCGATTGACTCACTGGAACTTGTCACTCATTTTATTGGTAAATTCACTACAAGAAAAAGTCAAGCAACTGTCAGCAGTTGACATGCAGCAAGCTTCAATCACACCTCAATGCAAGCTCAGGTCATTGTGCTGATGTAATTTGGTGGTACAACCTGAGACTTCAAAGGGGTGGATCAGAACAAGGTACAACACTGGGCAACTTGCATCAACTTGTCCAAAGTAAGAAATCTTGCTGAGAAAGTAGATAACCTGATGGCAATTTATACTCTAGGGACCTTCAAGAATACGGCCATTGCCTGGCACAAATCGAGATCTGCAGCACCGCGTGTAGAGGCAGAGATTCGCAAAATCAGCTTTGGATTCTTTGCCAGAAAGCTAACAAGGATTAGATTTGATTGCAAGCTACAGTGTATTCTTGCGTCAAGGGGCACGAACAAGGATTTCCCAAACCCCAAGCATGCACCACTGCCCCAACCCCAACTGGCAGCCTTTTTGGAACGTGGAGTTGAGGAAATCCAGATCCAATATGGAGGGCCTGCACCCCCATCACGCCCCCAACCAACATACCTCAATCTGGACATGACGAAAGATGAGGCCATTGAAGCCACAAAAGCTTTAGTCCAATCTTCTTCTCTCTCGGATAGACACTTTCTGATTTACACTGACGGCTCATATGATAAGGATAAAGGGGGGGCTGGAGCGGCTGTCTGCCCATCCTTAGACCTGGCTGTATCTTCTGCCCTAGGAGTCGACCCTTTAATTTCAAATCACGAATGTGAAACGGTGGGACTGATACTCGCCTTTGAGCTATTGAAAATCGCCTTGCTGTCCTCAAACTTCACCTCCGTATACATCCTGACAGACAACAAAGGAGTAATCCAACGAACAAAGAACTTTGGTGTACCCAAGCCCGGGCAGTATCTTTTCTTTGAAATCCTACATCTATTGGAATTCACACAACGGGATATTGACCTATTTTTAGTTTGGTGCCCGGGGCACAAAGGAATAACAGGAAATGAAATAGCAGACAATTTGGCAGCAGCAACAACATCAAGAAACAAGACACCTGACAGGAGGCTGAAAGGCAACCTGTCCAAGGCTATCAGGACATTCTCAGCTGAATTCCACCAAACACCTCCCAAATCCCTTCAGTCCCGGATCTCGGATATGCCAATTTCACACAGCTCTCTCATCAACCAACTTTCTTCTGGTGCCTCCCCTCTCCATCAACATCTTTTCAAAGCCAAGCGGCGAATGGACCCGATCTGCCCCTTCTGTCCTGGGAGGGAGACCACAATACACTTCTTCGACTTCTGCCCTCACCTCAAATTTCTCCGCAGGTCCCTTGTCAGGAAGGCCAAGGCCAAGAAAATCCGATTCGACCCAAACAGACCCCATCTCCTCCTAAACACGCCCAAGGCACACCCCCTCATTATTCAATTCATTAAAGAAGCAGAGAGGTTCAACTTCCTCTGATCTATACACTTCATGTTATCAAACTCTTCATCTTCACAGATTCTTTTGTTCCCTCTATGGTTTTTCTGTTTTCCTTTCTCTTTTCTTTTTTCTCTTTATACTTGTGCCCTATTTCCCCCTTTTTCTCATTTGCTTTGATTTACCTCGCCTTCCCTTAAACAAACTTTGTTATTTGTATGGCAATTTTTCAGAATTGTTTTCTATTCTCTCGATACTGCATATTCATAGTGTGCAATGCTAAAGGCAAAATCACACTTTAAAAAAAAAAAAAAAAAAAAAAAAAAAGGTACAACAAAAGTGTGAGTTCAACTCAAGCTCAGTGCAGAGTATGGTCTGAGCTCTTGCATGTCAACTGACACCAGCTGCTTGACTTTCTCTGGTAGTGAAAGCATTGCTCACATGTATAAACTAACCTTGCTCATCATAAACAGAAGGTGAAAGGTTTTGTTGAGGCTATGAGGCATACAAGCAAAACCAGCATTTCATGACAAAGGGTGAAACAAGAGTTGTGACTTATGACCGCAATTAATGTAAAGAATTTGGACAAAATAATGTTTCTACCAGAACTATGATCTAATTCAACAGTACTAGTAGTCCTTTCCCACTCAAGGGCTACTCCTTTTCTGGATGATAATCAGTAAAAATGTATTGGGATCCGGAAGATACGAGTAAGCCTTACCCCCAAAGAAATCATGGTCGGCTGTTGCGGCTTCTTCAGAAGTTGGAAGACCCAATGGCCATCTTTGAGAATGAATTTTCTATCGCACTTCTGGTTTTAATATCAAGGTCTGGTATGGAAAATGAAGATAAAAATAAGAGAAGTAAGCCAAGTGTCTAAACGTTTTTAGCTTGGGAGGAAGATGTAATTTTGTTCACTCTTGAAAGATGTATTCAGCTCCGACCAGGGCCCCTGCTGAGAGTAGTCTCTTGCTCCGGTATCTTGCCTCCAGATCGACTTACTATAATCAAGTACTACCTTGGCTATTTCCTTCTCTTGTAAGAATCTTTTTATTTTCTTCGGATTGATAAAGTCATTCTCCGACAACGAATCGACTACTGCAAACGCAAAGCCGCAAGTTAAGTGCCAGTTCCGCTGGCTACGAGTCCATTTTGAAAGCTCGGATTCAAGGCCGTCTGTGGTCAATAGAGTCTTGACATTCCCCAAAATCTTAGTGCTAACATCTTCCAAGTTGTTTTTGACTTCCAATTGAAAGCTTTCGCCCGAAAGATCCACAGGAAATTTGAATGTCGGAAGTAAGGATTTGATCAATCTGTGATATGACACGTCCGAATCGTATTGCCCGAGCTCCAAAAGCCTTAATTTTGTCAGAATCTCGATTTTCTTCTGACATTCTTCGATAAGATTGCTGGCCATATATATGTTTGGGAATTGACTAATGCTACGAGTGCGCTTGACATCCTGGAAAGTGCCAACGAGGGGGACTTGATAGTGCGACAGCTCCATTAAGTTTTTGTAGAGCGCCATGACCTTATCTATTTACCAATCATGTTCATCCAATCAGTGTTAATTGCAAGAAATTAAGGAGAAAAAATGGCCAAAGAAAAGGCTCACCTGAGTTCACTACCCAATTTCCTATTATTCTTGAGCCTAAAATTTTCAAACAAAGATATGATCATCAAGCATCAACAGATTTCAAGATGTCAGTAATCGACTAACGGATTTCACGAGACCAAGATGTGTCGCCAGTCAATCTGTCCATCAATTCTCTAAACACTCTTGTCAGCTGGGATAATCGATCATAATTCCAAACCCCGTTGTCGTGACTTCGATAGCCAGGGGATAGAGATTTTTCAGTTTTCATAATGTAATGTTGCTCAGGTTTAATTGCTGAATATTCGTCAGAAGATCCCCGCTCTATTCCATTGCGTAGACTTCTTTCCTTTCGAGAGAATCCAGAGACTAGGGATTCTGTAAGGATAAAAATCAGAATGTGCATAAATTCGCCATACAAATTCTTGTCAGAAGTAGTTCAAAGCTTGAGAAGAGGATAAGAATGAACGCCGATGTACCCTCAAAAGACTTGAAATCTGTGCTCCCAGAATTTTTCCAATGCCTCATTGCTCTCTTCGAGTAGGGCTCTTCTATGACTTTTCTCATATCATCATCGATTTCTGTTGTCACAGTCATCATTTTTCAAAAGGTGTCCAAGATGAATTAGTTTCCCAATCTTATACAAGTGATTGATTCTTAAGTTTATAATTATTACCTTTTGAAGTATTATCTAAATTCCCAAAATCTGTCTTGGCTTTGAGCTGAAGCCAAGAGGGGCGCTTCTCAATCAAATTGATGAAGGAGACCACTACTAATTTTGCCAATTCCTGATCTTGTGAGAAAATAAGAAATTTTTCCTGATTGATGAAGCCATTTCTGAGCAAAAGATCCACTACTTTAAAAGTATACCTCCAGGTATTTATCCAGTCCAGCTCATGATATTCCCATTTCATAAGCTCAGCTTCAGTATTGTATTTGGTCATCAGTTCCTTCACTCCATCTAATACCGAACCGGCAACTGCTTGTAACTGTTTCTCTGCTTCCAATCGAGAGCGCTGAGTAGAGGGAAACTCAAGTGCAGGCAGTAGTAATTGAACGATTTTCCAGTATGATTCATTCGAATCGTAGTCGCCTAGCTTCAAAAGTCTTAGTTTCGCGAAAATTCGAACCTTCCTCTGAAATTCTTGTATGATACTGCTGGCCGTATAGATATTTGGGTTTTGTTTTTGATCTGTATTCCATTTTATGAAGTCAAACATTTGATTAATATGGGATTCGTAGGGCAAAAGCTCCATCAAGTCTTCGTTAAGCGCTGTGATTTTCTCTGAAAATGAAAAAAAGTCACTCCAGTCAGTAATTGCAACAAATCGAGAAGTAAATAGGTAAGTAAAGCTTGAACCTGAATTTCTTTCCCAATTTCCCTTCATTTCTGAAACTGAACCCAACATATAATAAGACTGTCAGCAGAT